TACACAATATTTGTTCACCTTGATAAGCAAATTCAACTGTTCTCCATCTATTTTTCAACTGGAAAGGACTTAGAAAATAAGTTGTTCCAAAACTCAAACACTGCAGAAGAATAAAAAGACCATTCCCGAGCGCTTTCCTGCCTTGGTTCTAATCTTACGGACTATGAACAGTTTGTTGCAATTGCCTCCAGATATTTTTCTGAATATGCACCAGCAACTACATGGTCTCATTCCTCATCTTCCTGTAAGTGGAATTTGTGATGCGTTGTTTTACTATTAACAAGTCTACAGATTTCCCGCTTAGATGCATATAACGATTAATAAAAAGTGCAGCAAAATGTTTTGTTTTTTAACATAGGTGAGGTGTAGAGCGGGTTCCCTTATGACCGCAAGGTGGCACTAACACACTGCTTATTTGGGAGAAACCTTGGCAAACCGGCTTGGTTAGGAAGGGAGCAGGCACTTACAGCCCGCAGGACGCCCTCGTTACCAAAGAGGACGGGTGTGGAGATCGGGACGTCGTGGAAGCACTTTGGAGCTTCGCATCTAAGTGATGTTCCTCCCCACCCCCGCCGCCGCAGCACAGTGAGAAATGTGTGGAAAGCTCGGAAAGGCCGCAGTGGCATGTAGCCTTTCATATCGCAGCATTTGTCTTCTCTGTGGTATCTATGGTTACCGGATGTGGGGTTCTTTCCTCGGGGTTATGTAAAAAGGACAAGTTCTAAATGGCTAGCACACTACTTCCTTGTGCTATATTTAAATTATTTGGATGTGTGAATTTTGGGTTTGAGCATTGGCATGCCTTTGAGTGAAATGTCTCATTCTGCAATGTAGCAACCGTAAGACCAATACACAGGAGCGTCTAGTTCCCGTATTGAAAGACACTTCCAATACATCTCCTGATAGAAAAGATAATAGCCAGGCAAACAAACAAACAAACAAACAACAACAACAAAAAACTATTTTATATCAGATATAATATAGGGCCAGTTTTATGAAAAAAAAAAAAAACATCACGATTTCTATAGCTTAAAAAAAAAAAAAAACGGACCGGGTAAAAAACAATCCTGGAAAACAATTACAGGAACCGGAAGGACTAGGCTCGTTGAGAGTACAGTTGTAATTTCAAGATGCTCCTGGGCAGACGAAACGTGAGTGGTGGGTGAGGGAGTGAGGCAGGTGGAGGCACTGCTAGGCCGCAGGTGGCAGCTCCGAGGATCTGGAGAAGTGAGAGCCCTGCACTGTGAAGCAGCACCCACGGATCACGTGCTCCCTCGCAAACGCCGCCCCCAACTGTCCACCAGCAGAGGGCGTGCTGTCTCTGGTGTTCTCTCCTCTGAGGTTCTCTGGGAAGGATGCAGATGTGGATAGCTTTGAAACTTTTTGTAGCACAAAGCAAAGGACATGACAGCAGACCCCATCAACAAGAGCAATTTAATGTAACAGGTCCAAAGGTCACCAGAAAGTTTTAAAAAGCTGAAAACCATGTGCCCCGTGCCTAATTGGGACAGACGTGTCTACTGATCCATCGGTCTGTATCAGTCTGTATTTATCTATAGCTATGTGTGTCCAGGTGAGTAAAGATACATATTGCTGATCTACTGTCTTAGTTATGGTTTCTATTGCTGTGAAGAGACATCATGACCAAGGCAACTCTTCTAAATAAAAGCGTTTAATTGGGGTTGACTTACTGATTTAGAGGTTTAATCCATTATCGTCCTGGCAGAAAGCATGGCAGCACTCAGGCAGGCATGGTGCAGGAGATATAGCTGAGAATTCTACTACTTCTGGATAGGCAAACAACAGGAAAAGAGAGAGAGAACCTTTCCTAGCTTGGAGTATCTGACACCTCAAAGGCTTAGACCTGTATTATGAAATTTTCTTTTCCTATGTTTTTCTCCAGTGTCTTCAGCATTTCAGGTTTTAAATGAAGGTCTTTGGCCCACTTTGAGTTGATTTTCATACCATAAGGTGAAAGATACAGACCTGACTGCATTTTTTTCTGAAAGTGTAAGTACATTGTATCAATGCCATTGTTTAATTTTGTCTTCCATCCCCTGCCAAGTGTATGTTTTAACAACTTCATCAAAACTGAAAGGGCCGTAGCTGTGTGGGATAATTTCTGGGTCCTCTGTTCTGTTTCAATGGGCTAAGTGTCTGTTTTTGTGCCAGTAACATATTCATTTTATCACAATAGCATTATAGCACAATTTGAGGTTAGGTATTGTGTTTTTTTCCCTCCTGTAGTGTTGCTTTGGTTATTTGTGGCCTGTTTTGTTTCTGTCAATACAGAAGTTTGGAAATTCTTTCCATACCTATGTCTTCTTTAGTTTCTTTCTTTCTTTCTTTTTTTTTTTTTTCAGTGTTGTGAAGTTTTCAGTGTAGATGTCTTTCACTTCCTTGGTTAAGGTTACTCCTAAGTACTTTATATTTTGGAAGCTATTGCGAATGAAATATTTTCCTAATTTTTCCCCAGCAAGTTCTTTATTAAAAGATATGAAAACCCTTGGGTGTTTTGTATGTCAGGTTTGTATTCAATAAGTTTACTGGAACTGTCTACTAGATATGAGTTTTCTGTTAGAGTTTATGAGATCTTTTAGATCATTTATATTTATATAAAGATATATAATATATATATCATATATAGATATATAAAGAGAGAGATATAGAATGTATGATATATAAAATATAGAAATATTCTTCTAGATATAGACAGACATACAGACAGATATATCTAGAATCATACCTGTCAATAAGAATGATTTGACTTCTTTATTCACTGTTTTTATATATTTTCTACCTTCCTTGTGTCTTATTGTTTTAGATAAGGCCTCAAGTGCTGTACTGAATAAGAGTACCAACAATGGGCATCCTTGGTTTGTTGCAGATTTTAGAGGAAAAATGTTCTTCACTTTTCCTCCTGTAGTAAAGTGTTGCTTACATGCTTCTTGTATATGCCGTTTATTATTTTGAGAGATGCTGAATCTGCTCCTGATTTCTCTAGGACTTTTATCATAAAGACATGTTGAACTTCGCTAAATGCCTTTTTGTGGTCATAGGATTTCTGGTTTTTGTTTTATATTTATATATTTGTTTTTCTATTATATTCTTGGATAGTGGTATTATATTCACTGATTTGTGTACATTGAATCAATCTTGCATTACATAAAGGAAGTTCATCATTTGGTCATCGTGTATGATAATCTTAATGTATTTTTAAACTACATTATATATTTTGAATACATTTGAGTTATGTATTTCAGTTTTTGTCTGTTTATTTGTTTATTCAGTTTACATCACAGTTGTAGCCCTCTTTCTCCTCTCCTCCTGGTCCCTCTTGCCCATATGTAATGTCTTTTTAATTATATTTGGTTTTCAATTATTTCGTTCATGATTTTTGCAGCTATGTTCATTAGGAAAATTTGTCTGTAATTGTTGTTGTGTCTTTATCCACTTTTATTCAAGATAATACTGGCTTTGTAGAATAAATTTGGTGCTCCTTCACTTTCTTTTTTGAGAAACAAATTAAGAAGTGTTAGAATCAGGACTTTCTTTAAAGTTTGGTAGACTGAGCCATGAGTCCATCTGAACCTGGAACATTCTTTTTGGGAGATTTTTATTACTGCTTTAATCTTATTACTTGTAATGAACATGTTCAATGTATTTTTTCTTTCATGTTTAATTTTCATGTGTCATACACATTTAAAAGTGTATCAGTTTCTTTGATGTTTATTAGCTTTTTGGAATATAACTTTCAAAGTATACTGAATGATGCTCTAGGTTTCATTCAAATCTATAGTTACAACTCCTCTTTCACCTTTACTTTTACTAATTTGGGATTTCTTTTTCATACTTTTTGTTAGTTTGGCTAGGGGCTTGTCAATCTTGTTGTCCTTTAATAAAAACAAACTTTTTGGCTAGTTCTATGTATTGAGGCTTTGTTGGTCGCTATTTCATTAAGTTCTGCTTTAATCATTATGATTTTTGTTTTTGCCAGCTACCAGCTTTGGGAATGACTTTAGTTTTCTAGAACCTTAGGGTAATTTATCAGTTTATTAGAAAACTGACTTTGTTTTATTGTAAATACTTATTTTCCTCTTAGGATACTTCAGCTATCTCCCAGAGTGCCTGTCATTTTCATTTGTTTCTAGAAATTTAATTTTTGCTTGATTTCTTCAATGACCTACTGTGTATTCGAAAATGTATTATTAGGTGTCCAAGTATTTGTGTAATGTCTGTAGTCTCTTTTGCTATTTCTACTTTTTATTCTAGAGTGGTCGGATAGGATGCAAGGAATCCATCCATTCATTGTCATCCTCTTCCTTTCTTTCCCCCACCTCCCATCCACTCTACTCTCTTCCTACCCTCCAAGTCCCCCCATTTCTTCTCCCGTCTCCTTCTCCTCTCTCTGTCTTTCTGTTTAATCCAGTTGGTCCATGGTACAGTTTCTATCCTAATACTTTTTGAAGTACTTACTTCTTTATGTCCCACTGTGGATAGGAATTATGCAAACAGCGGAAATACTGTCAAGAGTATCTTAGTTTGTGGCACGTACTAGACATTTGAATAATAGTTTCTGGGTAAGATTTTCTATAGAATTTTAATAAGCTGTAAGAAAACAGAACTGGGACGGAAAGACAGCTTTTATGTATGGTGGAAAATTATTGAGAAAATCCAAGGAAAAGAAGAAGCTGATCTTCCACGATTCTCGGACACGGGCCACCACTAAGCACCTCTAGAGGGTATCCAGTTCCAGAGATGCTCGTCCCTGGAGAGCTGTCTCCTGGCAGATCCTCAAGGTCGGCCTTTCTGTCAGAAACAGGAGAAGACAAGGCAAACTAGGCGTTTGGGGGCAGGACTCTCAACTCTCTGGGCCAGTGTAACGTTTCAGGGCTGTAAATCCAGAGCCGGGGAGGAAAAAAAAAAGGCCTCAGTTTCCGGGGACGTTTTAGAGAAAGTACCGGCTCCTCCCCTTCCGGTCCGCGCCTATCTGTTTCCCCCGACCCACGTGTGTTTCCGAAGGAGTGAATTTGGGAGCAGCTGCGGCTGCGGTTGCATTCAGGGATCTTGTCGCTTTTGGACGTCGCGGGGCCTCGCTGGCCAGGACATCGCCATGGTGGGCGGCCGCTCGCCAGGTTTCCCGGGAGGCTGTGGTCGGGCGGACGGGAAGGGCAGGCTCGGACCCGTGGCGGCTGCCTATGCGGTTCTGGGCCTTGGGTGTCTGCCCGGCGATAGGAGTGCTCCCACGCTTTCGCGTTGTGGCGTTGTCCGTTTCTCATTTTCCCGAGGGAAACCTCGTACCGTCCCTTCTTCACTGATAACACTTTCTGGGCCCACTCACCTTTGCCCTTGGCAAATACAGATCCTCCCTGTCCTGGGCACAGTCAGCACGAGGTGCCTCGGTCCACAGCCCTTCGGAGGCCCATTCTGACCGCAGTCCTGCCTCTAGAGCCCCCATTCTTGTCCGGCAACGATGCTCTTTTTTTTTTTTTGTCTGTATTTTAAAACAGTAGAGACTTAGGGGTGTTCATAAAACATGTATATCAGTATAAAGGGCTGTACAGCATCCGAATTTTATGTTCATAATTGTGTGTGTGTCGCAGGGCAGCTTTCGGCAGTCTGTTCATTCCTTCCACCATGTGGGTACTTGGGACCTAACTCAAGTCCTCAGGTTTGGCAGCAAGCGCCTTTACTG